ATACTTAGACACAGGAAGGAGGCCTTTTGTCCACAGAAACAGAGCTAAGAGTGGTGCTGCCACACAGCGTGGATATCAAGGATTGGGGGCCACGCCAGATGTTGAAACTTCAAAGATGGAGCCTCGCTTGAAAGGAAGAAGCCTGAAATCCTGGTGTGGAGGGGCCATACCAAAGGCTCTAGGAGACTCCATCCTCAATTTAGACTTCCAGTCTCCAGAACCATGAGAATTAGTTTATTGTTTTTAAGTCACTTAATTTTTGGTACTTTTTCAAGGCAGCCCCCCAGCACAGTGGTGGTGGATGAGTGACGTGTGGTGCAGCGGGCACGCGGAATGTTCTCCCTTGGCATGAGCCAAGTTGCCATAGCAGCTGAGCATTGGATAGCAGTTGTTTTTTTCTGAACTAAACCTCAGTATTCAGGTTTACTTGTAGTGTTGGGATTTTGCAGTAAAGAAGTTGGTTGGGGGTTGCAATTTGGCACTCGATCTAAAAGTTTTGCCATCACTGTCCTAAGATATGTGGGTGCCTAATATTTACTCTTCCCCTGATATGATATGTAAATTGGCTCAGAGTTTGGGCTGTGTTTCCCTCATCACTCTCTTCTCATCGTTGATTGATTCATTCAGCTGTTGCTTAAAAAAAGTTCATAGTTATTGAAGTATAATTTATGTTGAGTAAAGCTTTGTTGGCATGCAGTTCTTGCAAATGTATAGTTTGTAACTACTGCCACAATCAAGACAGTATTTCATCAACCCAGCAAACTTCCTACATACATTTGCAACCTTTTCCTAGCAACCATGTTCGTGAGTTTGGTCACTTTCAGAATGTCGTGTAAATGAAATTGCATAGTGTGTGTCTGGCTTCTCTCGCCTTGCACAAGATTCATCTATGTTGCATAGATTCACCTATGTTGTCAGCACCTCTCAGTGGTTTGTTCCTTCTTCTTTCTCATTATTATTATTTTTTTTTTGTTTTATGGCAAACTTGTGACCTTGCTAATACAGTGCAAATAGATTAATGTATAGCTCCCTTGTCTTAGCAACTTTCTCCTGTACTTTAGCTTTTATAATTTCCCTGGATTCTCAATTCCACATCAACTGTGGGGGTCTGCTGGATTCTGTCTTGTTCTCCCATATCTGCACTACAAAAAAAATACAGTTTTTGGTTAATAAGGTAGCATAATCCTTAGCTATCTTGTGTGTGGTATCTTAAGAGCCATTACTTGCCATATTTTGTGAGATTTTTGGGAAGAGATGTTTCAGGCAGAAGGATAAATTCCATTCCTGCTATTTCATCTTGGTTTGAAATAGAAATTGTTAGTTTGTCTAAAATCAGCAGAGTACAGTTGAAGAGAAGTTTACATAAGGGACCATCAGGATCATATTTGCATTTTTAAAAGATCATTTTGAATATAGTATAGGTAGTAAATTATTCAGGGGGAGTTGCTTATCAGGTGGAGTTGCTGGGGACTCGAGGACAATATATTGATGGAATAAAAGCCACTTAGGAGACAACTACAATAGTTCACTGAAGAATTAGTGGTGAGGAAATCATCAATACTGATTGGAAACTGTGTTCAGAACTGTATCTGAGAAGTATGAAAAAGGAAAATAACAAGAAAAAACCCAATAGGTTAAGCTTTAAAAGTAGAAAATTTATCAAAATCTAGGTCTAATTTTTAGAAAGTATTGTCACCCTACCAGTAAAGTTAAACTAGTTTTGAAATCAGAGAAGCTTTCCACTAGAGGAAGGGCCCCAAATCTGAGGGTGGTTGGGAAAGAGCTGTGACACTGAAGGAAAGTTAAAGCAGAAACGCTCTGGCAGGAGGAACGTGCCGGGACCCTACTGTGCCATAGAGACAGAGCATGCAAAATGTGGCTCACAGTTTAATTTCAGACATCACTTTTTAACCCCAGATTACACACAACAGTTCCTTGCTATGGAAATTCAAGTTAGGAAAAAGTTATGTAGAAAAATGGAGAGCTTTATAAGTGAATAATTAAACATAAATGAAGACTGATGAATGAAGAATTATATTGCTTTAATAAGGTTTATACTTCTCAATATACATAATAATAACAAAAACCTATACTCTAATTGTTAGCATACATAGGAAAGTTACTAATTTCAAGAAATAAGTAAAATACTTAAATATCTTTCTCCTTTTAGTAAACATTTAAGAAATAGAATATAAATTCCACCAGAGCCAGGACTTTCCCTAACATTCTGAATCGCTAGCTTTTAGTTTCTTACATAGTAGTCTCTTAATGCATATTTGTGTAAAAGTGAGTGAACACACGGTAAGTGGAATCAGAAGTAGATGAATAGAGCAACATACAAAAATAGTGCTAGTGTATATTTTGCCCTTCAGTCCGGCAATTGCAGTTTGTGAAATGCCTATCTAGACTGAGAAATGCCCAAATCTTAGCTTAATGTCAAAATGTGAATCTTGAAGATCATTTTAACAGGGAAGAGAAGGGATATGCATTTGACAGATTTGTTTTTGTTGTTGTTTTTAAGACAGACACAAATCCTGTCTCCTTATGTATATTCTTTACTTTGTTATGCCTTCAGTTAGATTTTTGGTATTAGCTATCAGTGGTTTCAGTTCTTTTTGGCCAGAAAGCAACAAGATCTTGATTAATCAGGAGCATGACCGTGATTAGGTGCCTCCACTGTTCTGTACCACTATGCAGAACAGGCTCCTGTGGGAGATTAGACAAGATTCCATAGCTGCTTCCCAGTTCTCCATTTCTAGGAGTTGCCCATGAGCTATTTGAAATTCCTGGAATCAGAGTTGTTTCTTCTTCCCATTCCTTTCTGTGTGAGAAACTTTGAGGAGGACCTTAGTATCATCAGTGGAAAACTGACTGTATCCCCTTCTACCCGCTTTGATTGGTTGCACATTTGATCTGAGCCAGCAGCAGCTGATGAGTTGCATCTTAGACAAAATGAGGAACCTGTGGAGAATATGCCCCTTTCTGTTGTTTTCATAATCTGCTCCGCGGAGGTGTAGGCAGACTTAATCTTTTTAGTAGTGAGAGCAGATCTTTTTCAGAAAGGATAAAATATAGAAAGAACAAAAGCAAGTTTCTAAAGAATTTATATTAGGTCATTATACATTACAAACATTATTTCAAAACTGACAATCCTCAGGAAGACACTACTTGCTAATATAAGCAAGGTGGATGTTTGTATAAAACTTTTCATATATATAAAATTTTCCTGAAATGTATTTCTAAAACTTACTTGTTATTAACAAGGAAAATATTTTAAAACCATGTGCTTTTGTAAATATTTTAGGGCTTTCCTCCCTTTTAATTATCATGTTTATAGCTTACCAGGTTATAATTGGTACTATTCACTTAGTGGTAATTACTAGAATATTTACAGTTTAAGATTTATCAGTGGTCTCTTTTCTTCTTTCTCCATTTTTGACAGTAGTTTAAGAGAAATTCCAGTTAAAGATCTCTGTAGTCTTCCCTTTGTTTCCAATTGTTTTGGGGGTCCTTGCTTTACCAGAAAGTTCTGATTGTAAGCATAATTTCATACTTTATATTTCTGTCATATATTTGGCAAACTTTATGAAAATAATGTTTTATTTCCTCCTAACTTCTCTGTCCCGTACTCTTTGGGGCACAAATAACTACTTACGTTGATTTGTTGGTTTATTCTCAGATTTGTTTCTTCATTCATTTTCTCATTCATTCTTGCATGCATAGATTCACACATTATTCATACATTAAACATGCATTTACTAATGCCTAACTCTGTGTCATCTACTGCACTAGTTGCAGGAGCATGTGATGAAAACAGAGGTGTGTGTAAAGTGCAGGATTCATCCTGGGTTAGTGTGAAGCTAGGTGGTATGGGGTCCCCACCAAGGTCAGATCGCTACCCACACTGCAAGCTACTGAACAAATAATCAGAATTACCTCTTTACCCTTGAGGATAAAAAAAGGAATTCTTGATGTTAAGGAAGAAAAACCAAGACACTACCAACAGTGCACAAGTGTCACCAGAGTATGACCAGCTTGGTGAGGGGAACTTGCTTTGACACCCTGTGGCCAATTGCTTTTGTGTGAGTTTAGCATCACAGAACTGGATTGGGCTCCTCTGCTTTGCCCCCACCCCTTTGGTGGAAAGCATATTTGGTTGCACATTGGCTTCATAACTTTGTGACCCCTCTCTCCAATTGTACGTGGTATTTTCTATGTATTTTCATATTTTGGGACAAGGAACCATAGCGACCCAGTGAAGATTAAAAAACACAATTTGCACATATGGTCTCTTAATTTTTGAAAGAAAGCCTAAATAAAAACTTTTTTTAAAGATTCAAATTACTCTGTATATCATTTACCCATTTGAATCATAGCTCAGTAGGATAATGTTTTTTCAGTGTGAAAAATAAAATATGTAATGGAATGAGGGAGCTAGTGGGACACTGATTTTTTTCTCCCTGCAGAAGCACATTTCACACTCGTTGGGTTGAACAGGAGAGGCCAAGGCAGAAAAACCAATAATTTATGATTCATACTGGTATGTGAGACAGAATTCAGGAAACTATGAACTTCTTAGTCTGATACTATTTTGATGTTTTCATATAAGGTCACAGTGTTCATATAAACAAATAGCAAAATGAAATAGCCTTTCTAAGCCAACAAGAAGGAAAGCAATAAAATGTGGTTATCCAGGTCTTTGTTTCAGATCTAATCCTAAAATCTTAGGACCCCAGTGTCCACCTAAGATTGGCTTTATATTCTCTTATTCAGCCTTTTCAGATTATGTACTCCCATCTTAGAATGAATGGTGCAGTTGGGACTTCTGAAAATGATTGATCTGAGAAATTTTACAATTTCTAGATTGTCTACAGTGATAGAGGGTTAACAATATTCACCAACTATTTTGGGAAAGACAGCTGGATTCTAAATTCCAGAATGTCAGCATCATCCTTTTCTCATAAAGTCTGGAACCCTTCTCATGGTCCCTGAGTACATTTAGCTTTTCTTTGAACATATTCCATACAGATGAGAAGCAGCCTTTTAGGGGCATTGGGAAGATAGGCACATCCTATTATGTAGAGCTCAGTGTGGATATTGGATGCTCAGGCACTTTTGGGGCCCCACAGCTGGTGAGAAAACTAATTATATTATTACTGTTGAACAGGACAAAAGATCTTTATTACCTCTCTTGTTCATTTACTTCAACCTGACTTTTAAAATAATCATTGTTGTGGCTTGTATAGTTTTCCTCATAAAGGCAGTATTAGGTGTTGCTTTGTTTTAGAGTAAATACTTCACCTGCAGAATGCCTCTATCTTTAAAGATTCATCTCTGGACTCTAGAAATTGGGAATGGTGAGGATTTTTATGTGCTGTTGCTCATCTTGGATCGTCCCTGGATTGATCTGGGTCAGCATGTGGGCATAGGATCCACCTTGATCTTCCAAATACTGCTCTTTCATAGAAGAGGGAATTTCAGAGAGAAGTTTTATAGCAGCCAGTGTGGTGACTATTTGGGCAATTTCTCTGTTAACTTGGTCAGTCTATAAAGTTTATTTATGATTTTTCACACACTTGGATCCTGGTTGAGAGCATAGTCTACAGGTTGTAGGGTAAAGTAAGGTGATCATGGTAACAGCCAGGAAAATAGAGCTTAAAATGAAGTAGGCATCTACAACAAGTGATATATTCCTCTTGCTTTTCAGAGGGGGTTTCCCATAGGAGGAACTACAGAGATCTGTATTGACTGATAAAAGCCATTATGACAAACCTACTACTGGTATTAAATGGGAAATACTGTATTAAATTGTGAAAAACTGAAAGCTTTCCCTCTAAAATCAGGAACAAGACAAGGGTGTCCATTATTGTTCAATGTAGTACTTGAAACATTAGCAGAGCAATTAGACAAGAAAAATAACAGGGATATGTATAGGAGAGGAAGTGAAATTATCATTATTTGTAGATGACATGATCTCGACATAGAAGACACCCCCCAAAAATACTACCAAAAGATTCCTAGAATTAATAATTAAATTCATCAGTGCAGCAAGATCCAAAATCAACACATACAAATTAGTAGTGTTCCTGTACATCAATCATGAACTCACTTAGAAAGAGATTAGGAAAGAAAAATACCATTCACAGTAGCACCAAGAAAAATTAAATACTTAGGAATTAACCTAACCAAGGAAGTGAGAGGCCTCTACAACGAAAGCTATAGTGCTCCAAAAAATATCAAAGAGGAAAGATATCCTCTCTTCCTGGATAGGAAGAACCAATATAGTAAAAATTGACATATTTCCCAAACTGATACTTACTTTTCCTACTTTTTTGACTAGTTTGCTTTAGTTGCAGAAACTCCTTGTGCCTTAGATTAGCTGTTTGCCTATCATATGTACTAGAAATGCTTCTTCTGGGCATGTTATCTTTTGAGTTTGTTTATAAGTTTTGTCGTACAAAAGATTTTAATTTTTGTGTTTGAAATTTTTGCAGCATTTAGTTTATACCATCTCCACTTCAAAATAACAGTCAGGCCTATTTTTTGTAATAGTGTTGTACTTACATAGTTTCCTTTTAACATCTAAATCTTTGATCCATAAAGATTTTTTGTGTATGATAAATGAGATAGAGGGTTAAAGCCTACATTACCACATGGCTAGCAAGTCTCTTTAACACTATTACCATAGACACCATAGATTGTATTTCTAGTATGTAAATATCCATATACTTGAGTCTGTTTCTAGATTCTTTTGGTTACTGATCTATTTTTTACAGTAGTAACTATTTCATTCATTGAGGCTTATGAATATATTCTTAAAATCAGTGAGTCAATTTCTTTACTTTTTAAAAAAACATGTTTTACTTTTTGGAAAAAATAAATTTGAGTAAAAAATCCTTCTGGGATTTAAGCTGAACATTGAATTTGTAGATTAAATTAGGTAAAATTGATAACCTTTATACCATTGAGTATTTTTTGTTGTTATTGTTTGCTACATTTTAAAAATAGTTAATTTTAGAAAGTGCCTCTTTCTGATTAATGCCTAGAAATTTTGCGTATATTGTTGCTATCATGAATAAGATATTTTCTTCCACTTTATTTTTTAGCTGGATTTTAAAATTTTAAACAGGAAAGCATAAAAATAACAATAAAACAGTTTCAAAACAGGCTAGCAGGAGAGTGACAATAATTAATACATTGCATATTGTTATATTCATCGTAGTTGTACAGAGTACAACATATAGGCATGAAATATTGTCCAAAAAAGTATTAGCGCAAACCTTTCTTTTCAGTGATCTAAGAGAAACTAGCTCTATAACTATTTTAACTATCTCTTGAGTGTGTGTGTTTGTATATATATATATATTTTTTTCTTTTTCCTTTCTTCCTTTCCCGTTTTTCCTTTCACAGTTTTTCTTTTTCTTTTGAGGAGTTTCTTCCACATTTACACTATCTATTATACATTTTGAATCTTATTTACTCTTTCAGTTTCTCACAGTAATGAGACAATATGATGTTCACACATGTGGGTCTGATTTATTTCACTTGTGAATGTGGTCTCAAGTTGCATCCATTTACCTATAAAAGTCTCAACTTTGAAGTACCTGGGTCCCTGCAACCACCTACGCTAGAGGAACGCAGTGCCTGACCATTTCCCCTGCACCATGAGAAGGACAGGCAGTGCAGTAAGCACCTGGCACTTGGCAGCCACTTTGGCCAGAGTAACCCAGGGCCTGACCCATCCACCTACACCACAGGAAGGGCAGCCAGCTAGCGGGGGAAGTGCCTGGAACCTGGCAACCTACTCCACCAGAGGAACCCACAAATGATAAGATGAAGGTGCAAAATACAATCTCAGACCTCCAGCCCACCCAGAACAAGTCCAGGAGACACCAATACAGAAGAAATTGGAATTCACACACCTGACATGGATAGCAACTGAAGTAAAGAAGTAACTCCAGGAGGCTATAGAGGAAATCAGATCAGAAATCATATAATCATCATCATCATCTCAGGTAAAACAGAAATGACAAGTGTAATGAAAGAATTGCTCAGCATATCTAAAGAAGACATAGATTAAAAAATAGAGGAGCATAGAAAAATAATGGAATCCTAGAATGAACAATATAGGCTAGAATTTGAATGCATGAAACAGATTCAAAGAGATATCTAGGAAATTAAAAATTCCACTGAAAGCCAGTAAAACTGCTTGAACAAAACTGAAGATAGATTCTCAGGCCTAGAAGACTTCATTGCAGCTAGTGAGTATAAAAGGAAAGATCTCTTAAAAATAACAAGGAACCAGGGAATAACAATTCAACAGCTGCACGCTCATGCAAAGAAGAACAATATAAGACTAACAGGTGTCAACAAAAGGCAGGAGTCAACACAAATGACATAAAAAGACTATTTGCAGAAGTAATAGCAAAAAATTTCCCAAGCATGGAAAAAGAACCTGACATACAGTAAGTGAGGCATATAGAACTTCAGTTAGCCATGACCAAAATAAATCTATACCCAGATATAATAATAGGGATCCCAGAAATTCAGCAAAAGTACAGAATATTAAAAGCTGTTAGAAAAAAACCAGATTACCTATAAAGGAAAGCCCATCAAAATCACAGCAGATTTCTCAGCACAGACCATCAAGTCAAGAAGAGCTTCAAATGAAGTATTTCAAGTCCGAAAAGAAAACACCTTGCAACCTAGACTGATGTATCCTTCAAAACTATCTTTGAAAATTAATGGAGAAGTAAGATACTTCCATGACAGAGCAAAGCTTAAGAAATTCATGACTGCTAAACCAACCCAGAAAGAGTACTGAAAGATATCCTAGAAAGAGATAAAAATGGCCAAAATTCTAAGAACAACAACAGAAAGAAACCAGCAAGCAGGACAAGTAATTAAACACGGGAACAGTAGGGAACCAACAGCCAGAAAATAATACGACAAAGATAAGCCAATATATATCAGTTATAACCATCAATGTAAGTGGCCTCAATTCACCAATTAAAAGAAAAAGACTGGCAGAGTAGATCAAGAAACAAAATCTAACAATATACTGTATACAAGAAACGTATTTAACTCAAAAGGAAATTCATAGAATGAAAATCAAAGGATGGAAAACAATACTTCGTTCAACAGGAATGCAGAAAAAAGCAGGGATAGTTATTCTGTTCACAGACAATGTGAACTTTAAATCAAGAATGATCAAATGAGATAAAGAAGGTCATTACATACTTGTGAGGGGAAAACTTCAAGAGGAAGAGATAACAATCATAAATATGTATGCACCAAATACAGAAGCACCCAGCTATATAAGATGAATCTTAATAGAAATGAAAAGCCAAAAGTCTCAAGTTTATTTATTGCTGAGTAGTACTCTATTTTATTTAAAGAAAATCTTTTTAAAAATCCATTCTTCAGTTGATGGGCATTTGGGTTTCTAAGATTTAGCTATGACAAGTTGTGCTGCTATAAATATGGGTGCACATATATTGCTGTGGTTTTTAATTCTTCTAGGAAGATATCAGAAGGGGAATAGCTTGGTCAAATGGGACCGTCAATCCTAGTTCTTTGAGCAATCTCCACACACATTTCCACAGTGGTTGCACTAGTCTACACTCCTACTAGCAGTGGGGAAGGGTTTCTTTTTCTCCACAGCCTCTCCAACATTTGTTATTGGTTGATTTTTCTGGTGATGGCCATTCTTTCTGGAGTGAGATGGAGTCTCAGTGTTGTTTTAATTTGCATTTCTCAAATGACCAGTGATGTTGAACATCTTTTCATTTATTTATTTTACATTTCTATTTCTTTATCTGACAAGTGTGTATTCATCTCAGATGCCCATTTTTGGGTTGGGTCTTTGAATTTTCAGAGCCTGATATTTTTCAGTTCTTTATGTTCTCGATAGAAGTGCTTTGTCTGAGGGACAACTGGCTATAATTTTTTCCAACTCTGTGGGTTGTCTTTTCACTTTGTTGGTTATTTCTTTTGTTGTGCAAAAGCTTTTTAATAAGGTAAGATCTCATCTGTTGATTCTTTGTAGTATTTCCTGTGCAGACCGGGTTTTGTTTATGAAGTCCCTGCCTACACCCATGTCTTCAGTATTTTTATCTATTTCTACCTTTTC